AATAAATAATAACAATGACACATGACAATGACAAATACGGCTATCAAATAATGACTAAGTTTTTTATTAGTTAGTTACAAAAGTTATAAGGAAAATTTATTAATAACATATTTTTTTAAATATAATTAAAGCATTATTGTGTAGATATACCCAAGCTATTTAAAACGTTTATTTATAGAAAAATATTTTTATTATGGAATGTTGCAAAAGTAGCAATAGCATTAGAAAACATATTATAATATGTTTTCAAATGGTCCGGTCTACAGAATTTTTGAGCATGGGCTGTACTCGTACATACATTATTAATATTGCTTATTATACCTTGAAATAAGAATAAATTGTTCTGATGTTGGTTTTATGTATAAAAAAATTAAAAAATAAAATATATAAAAAATGGACGCAGACAATTTATGATTCATTCTTACAATAAAGTTATAAAAATGAATCTAAATGTATAAAAATTAACAGTTTTATTTTCCTGTCTTCTTCAGTAGAGGTTTCTTTTATTAACCATCAAATAAAGTCCCCCATCATGCTTTCAGTCTTCTTCTTTTTACGTTATTCAAATAACATTATATCTTGATGGAAGCAATCCCCTTGTTCTTCCGAATAAGCTCCATATCATCTTTAACATTTATCCAAGTGAGAATGTAACGTATGCATATTTAAAGATATTCTACATCCGATGATGGAAACATTCATAATCGTGTCAGTGATCAGCTCGAGATAATTTTCAACTCTATGGTTTCCAAGAAAACCATGAACTGCTTCTTTAAAACCGTTCCAGGCTCTTTTCTTCTAATTGTTAAGTAACTACGGGAAAATCTCACGAGCCATATTATTTGTTATTTGAGGGCTTCCAATATTTTTTCGCCTCTGAAAGCTTTTGAAAAAAATTCTTCAAATATTTGAGAACGTCAAACTCATGATTGTTCGCCTTTGCAAATTGTTGAATAAGACCTAATTTACTATGCAATGGCGGCATTGATATAGTTTTAGGATTAGAGGAAGGCGGCGACTTCTCTATCGACAGCGATAGCGCGCACTAATCAATATTAATTAGGCACGAAAATCAAATATGGTAAAATTGCTATAACTTCTTAAAAATCAAATATTTTTGATTTATAATTGAAATTTTTAAATGTATATTTGCTCACATAATCAGAATATGTTCAGTGACACCCATTAACAAAAAAAAGGTTTCCTTGATCGGTGTTATAGGTATTTCGTGGCGTCATTTGTAAGACATGATGTCTATAACAATATATGGGATTGCGACATTTGAGAAAACCGGTCAACGAATAAGATATTTTTTTCGTTATTTAATTCGTAAAGGGTATAAAAAGTTATGTGATTGTTAATAATTCCTTAACTGCTATAAAAATACTTTTTTTTTACTTTTGTTCATCAGATATACAAAGACTTTTGTATCAGTAGTAGGATATGCTTAATTTGTTATACCTACGACACAAAAACACTTAAGTGTCTTAAAACCATGAAAAAGTAAAACTTCTAAATTAACTTAATTAAAGATTGGCTGTTTGTATCGCAAAAAATGCGTGTTTTGACATTTTTTAGAGAGTCATTAATCTTTTAGTACTAAGTTATTGAAGTAACTTTAGAGGTTATAGCGTTCGTATAAATGAACTTGCACTTCTACGCTTTATAAAAATGGCACGCATAAATGATAATGCAGTTAAAATAACAAATTCAGATAAAGGGTATTATAGTATTTATAGTTATGATTAATAATGGTTAATTTAGAAATATTACTAGAAATGAATACCTACAGTTATTAAAAATGTTGTATATAAAATTAAAAAAATACAAAATACGAGTAACAAGACATTTTTAACGTTTATAAAGTGTAGACTTTTCTACATTGTAATAGAGTAATATCTAAATTATAACTAGCTATATAAATTTTATTTTATTATGATTTTTAAAATAGTTTAATGTTTTCTAAAAGAACTAAAATTTAATAGTAATAGAAATAATGTAATAGAAAAATAATTAACACGCCGTACATAACTATCAAAATAATATTGCAAGAACAAAATACAGACTGCTTGTTTAGATAGTAATTCTGCATTTTCGAAATAATAACATTTTTGCACTGAGGAAAACAGGCATATTCCCAGAAATAACGTGAAATATTGAAAAGAAGTGATTAAAATAAAATGCATTTTAATTTGTATTTTTTATATTGTTTGTTTGTTAGTAGCTCGGTGGCGTAGTGGTTAAGCGCCGCGGCCCGCTATCGTTGTCGTTAAGCAACTTTCGCAGGGGTCGGTCACGGAATGGGTGACCAAAAAATTATTATCTCGTGCTTCAGAAGGCACGTTAAGCCGTTGGTCCCGGCTGCATTTGCAGTCGTTAATACCCTCCAATCCGCATTGGGCCAGCGTGGAGGGTCATGGCCCATCCTCCTTAACCATCCATAAGGAAGGCCTGAGCCCCTGCAGTGGGGACATAAAAGGGCTGATGATGATGACGATTATTTTTGTTCGCGAATTTGCTAAGGTAGATAGATATGTAGTGGTTATATTTAGCGTAATTGAAAAATTTCGAAATCGCATGATGGTTATTGAATATATGAAATTTAATTGAAATTTGATATTATGTCTGATGTGACGTTATTAAAAAACGTATCAAATTATAGTATTCCTCCTACTCGAGTCCATTAATCATTACTAAATATAGGTATAATATAATTCGTTTTCCTTCCTAGTGGACGGTTGGTGGGTACATTGGTGATGTTATGAAGGCTTTTTTTTTGCCAATACTGTCTTACTTTACAGCAATGTAATAATAACAATAAGTTTAAGTAAACTTAACTACACTGCAACATATATTAACATATAGAAAAACAAAGTTATCTAAAGTCTTTCTATTCAAACCTGTAGGATAAGAGCAAGATTATTATAATAGTGTGTGTTGTGAGTTTTTGTTCACCAATATAAAGCGAGTACATGTCTGTTTTAATAATAAAATATATGGCATCATTTATTGGAAAGGTTATCTTATCAAAACGAAGTTATCGTTTTATCGTTAATTTTACCGACTGTATTTAGAACGTAAGACAGTTGTCGCTTTCTTAAGTCATAAAAAAATATCTATATCATTTAAACAGTATATATCGTGTGCTAGAGAAGTAGTATGGAGTCTATAATCATGTATATATTCATCGCTTTGCTTTTGTGTGTGAATATTACATCTAGTTATACACAGATAAGGTTGACATTATCTAAACTTCCAGATATTAAAAAAGCAAACTAAAGATATGCATCTATTTTACTAAAATACAGCATGGAATGCAGCGTCAAAAGAAACAGCACTGTCTCAACATTAGAGAATAGAGAATCAATTTTAAGCCTGTAATAGGAAGTGTTAATTTTTTTTTACCCTCTTATGATATTACAACTCTGTGTTTGACGTTGTATTTATAACAGAATGGCAAAATCTGATTTTATGTTTAAATTTTATCTTTACTCATATTAAGTATCAAGAGGTATTGCTTCTAACTTTGTTTATATTTAAGTGGTAATCTTCGGAAGTACTGGTACGCGGGTCATATAAGCTTTAATTTACGCAGGCGAAGTAACAGTCAATCAGCTAGTCTACGAGTAATAGTTGTTCTTAATCTTCTCAGTACAAGGTCTCCCGCCGTAGTTTTGCGAACCGATGGCGTAGTTTTCGACTTTTACAAGTGCTCTGTAAAAGCCTAAACTGAATAAAGAAATATTGTTTTTTTTTATTTTGATAATGCAACATATTATTCTCATCGGTCACTAAAACTAGTTTGAAATAACCTCTTAAGCTTATCCTATACTCGAGGGGAAAGATTTTATAACTAACCACATTTTCGCCAGTGGTTGCGCCCACGTCCTGTATTGTATTATACATATAAACCTTCTTCTTGAATCATTCTGTACATTGACTGTGTAGTTTCTAATTAAAAAATGCTTAAAAAAACCCTTTTGTCCCTGGCGCTCTGAGATGGATCTCGAACTCACAATCCTTCGCAATACGAGCAACACAATATTGTTAAAGGTAAATGGCGGATACATCTTAAGATAAATATTTAGAGAAAGAGGGAGATATTTTACTATCTGAGAGTGAATCCTAAAGAAAAAGTAAATCATGCGTAGGAAAGAAAATAAGCCTGTAGAGTGACGAGAAGTCTTCGGAGGGAAATTGGAAGAGGTACGCAATGGACTTTGTGTAGAAGAAGAACAAGAAGAGACATATTCTGGGAAAGTGTGGAGAAAGTTGTTTATAATGATCTGACTCGAAACTACTGGACCGCTTTCACCAATATAGAGCTATAATATTATATGTTATTAATAAGATACGAAATTGTCGGAATCAGGTTGTTTATAAGATATAATATTATGTCTGTGTTTTATATGTATTGTTAATGAAGCTTATTTTAAACGACAGTTCTGCCTCCACATGTAATACCTACAAAATTTGTAAACAACACAGAAGTGTAATATATATGGCGTGACTTTGTTTTATCTCTAATATTTTTAGCATGACAGAATATTTCTAAAGCATCCAAGATGCGTGTAAATAAATGGCTGAAGAATAACAAAGTAAATTCATATCATTTTCCATGAAGACATAAACACTAAACATATAATTTACCTTTTTAAAGGGGATAACATTTTTAGTCCACATAGGAATTCTATTAATATTTGGAATCTAAGTTAAATAATGAAGAAATGGTTACATTTAACATTTTTATGGCTTTTATTATGGCTAAAAATTGCCATATTAGGGAAGGTATTATTAAACAAGTTACAAGTTTCTTCCTTCTACCACATCCCAACTATACAAATAAGTATAATTGTGTTGATTTGGCTATCAAATACTTTTTAAATTATTTCTGTTAGTTTCCAATAATTAATTTTTGTTGCTGGATATAATAATGGTGTTTCAAGTTATTGTAATTTACTGTTTTATGAAAGTGGATTTGTATGAGAAGAATTACTTACGTGGAATTAAGTCCTGGGTCTATTTTGTTTTCATTGATGTACATCAAAGCCATGTCTGCTAATAAAACTCTGAATTCTTCTTGTATGCGGGTGAATTGCAAAGCCGGCATGCCTCCTAGTATAAGTGTGAGTGTTTCCACTGGTTCCGGAAGTTCAGGCTCTGGCTCTGGAATCTCCTCTTGCATACGAGGAAGCGGAGCTAAAATTAAAAGAATAAGCTAAGAAAATTTTAAAACATTTTTTTGTTGCGCCTTCTTGGAACAAAATATTCAATCACGTTTTGTTACTTAATGAGCGCTAATATACATTTATATTTTTATTTAATTATCGTGAACAAGTAATTTAAAACTGTTGTATTACTTTGTCGTGTTTGTCTTTTATAAGGACAAAGAAGATACAAATTACATAGCACATAAGTGCTATGATATATATATATATATTTTATTAATCATAAGATGAAATCTTATAGCATATTAACCGCCTGTTATGTCCTTAAAATATGGAAAAAAGAGCTTAGTCACCGGAAGTAAGACGTCGCACAAAAAGTCACTTTATCAGCACATGCTATATTAAGAGTCACTATTAATGACATTTTGTACCACTTACCGACCATCCTTACGCTGAATTTGAACCCTCTAAAAAATGCAAAACCAGTCATGGCGACGAATCTGACAAACATTCTGTCGACATCTAAAAATCGGTAACGGCGAGGTTCATTCAATTGGTAAGAGAACACGAGACCATCCGTTCCACTCTCATCGATACCACCTATGAAAGAAGAAAAAATATATGATAAAAGAAATTTTAAAATTGAAAATGCAACAATTTAGATATAGGATGATAACCCGGTTTGGCCGAGTATTGTTTACTGTTAGGAGACAATATTGAGCATTATAACGTGTATTTTACCTGGTTTAACTAACAAGTAATCGCCTCTAACACCGTTGATAGCAAAATCGGTGATGTTCAATTCAATGCCAACTCCTTCGCCTTCGAAAATCCAGTCGATAATGTTATTACTTGGGTAATTATTAGGATAATTTGGCGACGTCACATACACGGGTTCATCCAAAGTGATCGGTATATGGATCACTGGAACGCTTGCAAAATTTGGTGAGCTAATTTGCATTTCATCTCTGTGAGCTACCTGGAACTGTGCCATCAATTGTTCATATTGCTCTGCGCTCACTTCGGAGACATTCATAGTTCTAAATTCCTTTCTAGTAGACACCGAAACAGGTTCCGTTTCTTCAGGTGCAATAGCGTCATTTATATACATTTTCTGTTGTTTTTTAGTTTCCTTACTTTCTATATTAATGTTAAAATTTTCTGTCTCATCATTATTTTTAGAAATTTCATCTTTAATATCTGTTTCAGGATCAAATGATTTCAAGTCAACATCTGACGTTTCTTCTTCTGACAAAAGAGATAGCGAATTATTGTCGATCTCATCTTCTGTTTCATTGCCCACTTCTTCTGCAGCATTATTAGTATCATTGTGAACAAAGTCTATGTTGTCTGCGTTTTCTTCTTTTCCCAAATCAAGTTCATCTTCTAGAAGAGTCTTTTCGTCATTCTCATCATTTACAGTATCTCTGTATAAATCTGCACGAAATTTGGCATCTTCTCCACTATCATCATCAACAGCATCACTTTTATCTTCAACTTCAGCATCTGAATTTTCATCTTCATAGAAGTTATCTCTTTGTGATAGAACTAAACCTTCGTTATATGGTCGACCATACTTCTCTTCGTAATCTAAAATATTATCTGGACTCAATGAATCATCTGCATTTTTTTCTTCGGTGACTGTTAATTTCTTCCAAGTTTCCATCAATTGGTGTAAGTCTTTATTTAAGTCTTCGTATGCTTTGTCAACAGAATCTTCATCTAAAATATCCCTGAAATCTGGTTCCCCTTTTTCATCTCCAAGTGTAATTTTTATATCTTCTTCAGACTTAATATTATTTTTTAAATTTTCATTATTATTTAAATTTAAGTCTGTATCAATGATATCTTTTTCTTCGGTCTCGGATAAGCTAGATTCGTTTTTAGTTGATGTTTGTATGTTTTTTTCTGTTTCACCAACAGGAGGGAGTGGTATCGGTTCAATGTCTTTATTGACATCGAATGATATTTCTTTAGATTCTACGTCATCATTGGGTAAATCAGCGTCCTGGTCCTCTTTCACATCATTGCTTATCGGCGGAAAAAACCGTTCAAGTCCTGGAAGGTCATCATAGTTTTCTAAATCAATAGTTTCTTTATCTTCTTCATTTGAGGTGAATTCAGCAGCATCTTTGGATTCTTCATTGTTTACTTTCTCATCATCTCCTAATTTAGTTTCTTTTTCAGAGTTGTTCAAAATTTCTGTGTCTCCTCTGTCTGGGTCATCATTTTTTTCATCTGGTTTGTTGTAATCATAATATTTGTCATAATTATCGTCAGCCATGGATTCATAGTAGTCATCATATTCCAATTCCGTAGCTGAAACAAATAAAAAATAGTTACAAGAATTCCAGATAAAAAAAGGTTACAAATAATAAGATTTAAAGATGTTCTATGAAGATAAAAAATATCCTATTACTTATTAAAGCTTCCACTGATCATTTGCAAAATTAATTGCAATGAATTTGCACACAGAAATTAGTACAGTTTGGATAAATATATTTTCATATCCATAACACATTACAAACTTTAGACGGTTTTAGACGGAAATTTTAGACGGTTCCTTGTTCCCATAGAACTTTAAAGTTGATTAATAAGTAAGTCACTATTTATTTATTTTTAATGTTTTGCATGCATATTTCGCCTTTTTATAATAATCCTAACTTTGAAAAACTCGCAAATATTTTACAGTTACTGTTGTTTTACCTTTTTTTCCTAATAGACAAGAGACATTAGACAGCTTAAAACGAAGAAACTTAATATAAATAATAAATTACAAACTATTAGTAATAAGAACTGTTCATTTAACTGAACAATGGCATGTGACGTTACTAAGGCATAAATAAGCAAACGAAACAATGGCTGTCATTTGCTGGTTTTAACATAAATTGGAATTAACATAGGTTTACGACGTAATAGACTTTTATAATATGATGGAGGTTTGTTATATGTTGAACTATAACTTGCCAAATTTGAGATCGATTCTTATATGAAATATACTTCATTATTTAATCACAAAGACCTCCCCTAATGTGCTCAATATTTCCTGTTTTGGGTTATTTGCATCCATCTCCTGCGAGTAACCTTCTTCGAATCATCGCTCCACCTTGCTGAAGGTCTTTCTACACCACGCTTACCAATTCGCGGTCTCTACTCCAGAACTTGCTTACCCCATCGGTTATCGGGTGATAGACAACTTAATTAATCACCGGACTTCAAAATAATTATAAATTAGTTAGTTTATTTCATAACAGATGATTTTATGAGTAATTTAATATGTTACAGTAATCATAATAAGTTGTGTAATAATAAAACATGGAAAATAAATGTTTGTTTATATCATTATATGTAATGTTGTTTTGCATAGTAAGCAAACAATGTAAGGTATTGCTGAAATGAAGTCTGGTCATAAAATATTATCAATATAATGGTAATAAGTTCCTTAATTAATTTAAGACACCACTTTTTGTGATGTTGAAACAATATATTCACATACAACATATACGATTTAGTTATTCTCTTTTATAAGTTATGCAAGAAATATTCAAAGTCTGATTATTTTTATTATGGATTTTGCATTTATTGTAAATTTATTATTGATTCATAACGTCATTCTATTTATAGTCAGCTGAGTGGACTGGCCATTTTATTAACTGGAATTTTAAACTTGGAAAATCTGACTCAACTCAAAAATATCTTCCCGCAAAATATTATTCTTTACAATTTTATTAAATAACTAATTAATATAGACATTCTCGAACGTAATCACTAATTTAAACTTAATAAAAATTTTCTTGTAACTTGAAATCACCCACCCATTCGACATACACGCCAAATTTTAATTGAACCTTTATAAAAAAGAGGTTATTAATTCTTGTTAGTAGAGCAAAATAATAGGGTCACTAGTCCCTTTCCCACACTGATACGTAAGTGAATCATTCGTTTATTTGTATTTTATCAGGTCCTTAATATAAACATAAGTATGTTAATGTAAATGTTGGTCATGTCTACATTATTTAAACTTCTGAATACACTCGTTCTAATGAGTGTTGGACCCAGGTACGATACTCGATTAGCTGGACTTCGGGTTGATTTTGACGTTTAAACTTTTTTTATGGGACGCACACCTTTGCAACATGGGTGCCTACTGGAAGGAATACTGAGCGCTTAGTGTAAGTTTTTTTGACATTTACGTTCACTGTCGATCGTGAGCGCGTTAAGATTTTAGTATGGAATCCGGCACAGCGCCCCTAGCGGTAACTATCAAGAACTACAAATCTCCATACAAATTCTTAACGTGCTCACTAGTGAACGCGTTAGCGTAAAACTTACACTTACCACTCTGGAATACTCCTTGGAAGAGCTACGTTAGCGAGTTTGCTGCAACCAAGTTACTTTTAAGAAAATCCTTAACGAAATGAAGCTAACATTTAAATTTCTATTTTATTTTGTTACTCGTTTGCTATATCATATTACCCATTTACCTAGTAGACATTTTCTTTTGATGGCTTATCTAAGCGTAGAGGTGACTGAATAAACGATTACGATAAATATGTATTAGTTTTCTATATATAAACAACATTTCATAGCAAAACAAGAAATTGAGGTAGACACTACGGGCTCCTAGGTGCCTTTAATATTCGGAGCAACGAAGTTTTCGGAGTAGATACTCAGACGCACATTCACAGTAGGTAAGTAACGTTTCAAAAACTAAGTGACGTGTAGGAATCCTGGGATCTTGGCCGATAACCCTCAATTTTCTATGTATCAATTAACATGGCGAAATATTGACAAGAATTGTGCAATACCAAAAGAATATACTTAAATACAACTTAATATGGCAGTAGAAACTGCAACGCAAAAACAATTCGATTCCCGCTATGATTACAGTCCATAAACTTAGTATTAAGTACTATAAAGAACAAATAACATATCGTTTTTAATGATGTTAGCTATCTAATCCTGTTTGACTAGCATAGTAAAGCTAGTGTTATTTTAATACTAGCTTTCCGCGAGCGCTTTCATCCGCGTGGTCCTGTATAATACGTATAAACCTTTCTCTTAAATCATCTGAATCGTTATGTAGTTGAAAAAATCTCAACATACTGTCTGTATGCAGAGATTTTGAGATGCTGAGATTTTATGGGAAGTGATTTTGTTTTATACTATGTATAGATTAAATAAACATAGGAAAAATATGTAGTCAATCCAAAAAATATATATATTATTTTCGTTACTTACAGTAAATCATATTCACGTTCCATTTCTCTCTTATTATTTATTTATAATATAAAATTTCTTTATGAATTATTTAGCGGCTTACAGTTGAAAAGGTTAACAAACATCAACTACTGTCTTATTTTTAATATGTTACTTCGGATAAAAAAAAAAAAATTTTATCCTTTAGAATTTAGATGATACAAAACCTTTAATAAAATCGCTCAAAGATCGAAAACGCTCAGTGAGCGGAAAAATAGCTCACAACGCGTTGTGGTCACAGTAAAACATCCACATGGCGAAATTCGTGTTATGGCTCTAATGAAAACGCGCACGACGCGTTGTGGCAATCACAGAAAGACCAAATAGCGAAATTCGTGTCGTGGCTGACATGCTATTCGATCTCAACGCGTTGTGGCAATGTAAAAAGCCATGATGCGTTCTGAGCATTCATTGTTTTAACCATATCACGACGGACAGGTTGTAACGAACTTCGTCGTTAACACTTCGCTCAGCATCTATGTTATCATCTGGAAGTAAGCAAGGGTTTATAATGTGCCACTGCAAAAGATACTGTATTGATAAAAAGTGCAAGTGTCGCTCCAAGAATATAAAATGCAACTCCAAATGCCCCAGTAATAGTTCCTGTAAAAATAAATAGCAATCAAATACTTATTTTAAGTACATTATTGTTGTTTATTGGTGGACAATAAACATTTATGTTTGTGTTAAATATTTTTATTACTTGAAAGAATTTAAATTGTCATAAAAAAATTAAAATACCTAATTATTTTAAGTGAATTGTAAGAAATTTACAAATGATTAACATTTCGTGTTCAGTAATTTATTACTTAATATTAATACGTTGATTTTTTTAAATATAAAGTAATCTCAATAAACAACAAATATCGTTTTATTTTAATTTATATAATGTATTTCATAATAACAAACACGTTATGCAGTGATTTTATAAAATAAAAAATATTTCCTAAGGACATCTACCAAAACGTTCGAGCCTAGGCCTAGTAGGATCCATATCGGAAAGTTGTGTGCGTCGTAATCAAATAATATTCCATACGCGTTGTGGCAATGAAGAAAAGCCATCACGCGTATGGAATATTATTTTTATGACAATTTAAATTCTTTCAAGTAATAAAAATATTTAACACAAACATAAATGTTTATTGTCCACCAATAAACAACAATAATGTACTTAAAATAAGTATTTGATTGCTATTTATTTTTACAGGAACTATTACTGTGGCATTTGGAGTTGCATTTTATATTCTTGGAGCGACACTTGCACTTTTTATCAATACAGTATCTTTTGCAGTGGCACATTATAAACCCTTGCTTACTTCCAGATGATAACATAGATGCTGAGCGAAGTGTTAACGACGAAGTTCGTTACAACCTGTCCGTCGTGATATGGTTAAAACAATGAATGCTCAGAACGCATCATGGCTTTTTACATTGCCACAACGCGTTGAGATCGAATAGCATGTCAGCCACGACACGAATTTCGCTATTTGGTCTTTCTGTGATTGCCACAACGCGTCGTGCGCGTTTTCATTAGAGCCATAACACGAATTTCGCCATGTGGATGTTTTACTGTGACCACAACGCGTTGTGAGCTATTTTTCCGCTCACTGAGCGTTTTCGATCTTTGATATACATATAAATTTTAAAGCTAATGATGATAATGCAACTTCACATCTATGTTTTTTATATACAGTGTTATTAATAAACAAGGTTTAGCGTTGGTGTAAATTTATGCTGAGATTGCACTTAGTATTAGTCAAAATTCATATTATTAAACATAGTTTTAGCAAAGGTGAACATGGGTTTGCTTATTCTCTGTATAATATGTATTTGAACTGATACTGCAATTTAAGCGTTTTACTCTGACGCTAAACCTTTTATATTAATAGCGCTATAACAGTGTTGGCATTTCTGGGATCGGCTTAGATTGTAGAAAATGAGCTTTATTATAATTTGTTTTAGGTCTGGATTCGCGACTTCACCCGCGTTAATTCTAGAATAAGAATCTGCCCAGTAGTTACAGAACTCACAACTAAACAATCAAATCTTTCCTATTATAATATTACTTCATACTACATAGCTAACTAAGAGAACGTACCGCATAGTAGGTATGGGAAAAATGTTGGTTTTATGATTTTCGCCTCAAACTTCCTATTTACATTCCTTTAGCAGAACGCAGGTTCATTGAATATCAACTAATTTTTGAAAAAAAAAGCGCCTAATTGATGCAATCCTACTTGATGTAATGTCATAGTTTATTATTATTATTTTTTTAATTGACTTAACCCTCGTACTATATTGACTTGTGTTGAAACCAAAACTTTTGGACGCAAAACAAGAACGGTTAGTCAAATATGCCATTAACGAAGTGTGTTTTATATTGCCCATACATGGGACGAGTGATGGTAACCCATCATGGTTTGAGACAATTGCATATCTTTTTAAGTGATTCATAATGAATTGAAATGTAAAAGATCCATATTATTGTTCTAATATTAAGTAGCGTAAATCCTTGTATTATAGAAATCTGAAATTAGTTACTAATGTAGTACTAAAACCATCCGAATCAATGATAGGTGTAGAACTTTATTTACTACGCTTACTTGACTGGGAATCGAATGTGGGACCTCAAAGTGAGACCTTGAAATTTTCACGAAATATATATTTCCACCATTCCTAAAACTAAAACTTATAGAAAGATTCATAGTATTAATAGTTTGCGAAAGCGCGGTATCCTCTAATTACGAGTGCCACTCTCTCTTAACTATATTTTTTTATTTTTAAACTTTGTTTTTGTTTTTCTTTAAATTTAACTCACCACAGGTTATTGCTACACATAAAAGCACCAAAGAGATCCACACTTTTGCCATATTTAAAAAAGCACTTAGAACATTGTCTTGTATATAAAATCTTGATATTATTAGTACTTATTTTATAACAGGTAAAGTTTATTCGATATTGAAAACACGAGTGTCTTATTTGCCGCGTCGGTTGCAACTGGATAGCTATTATTACAGATATTGTGTCTTGTGTGCGTTACTCATAAGTATATACGATGTATTATTCTGTGGCATAAGTTAGACATAAATATAGTGATAAGAAATCAAAGATAAAGGGGATTGTGTTCTTTGAGTGCCTAGTTTGCTAATTCCTTTAATATATGTTGTTAGTACTAAGTAGTATAGAATTATATCAATAGTATTAGTTAGTTACATTGAATTATCGATAGTAATGAAAAATGTAAGGATAATGTATTTGGTAAGTTTGTTTATGAAGCTGTACACGACAACATTCGGAATCCATTTAAAAATATTTCCTATAATATAGCTATCTTATTCTTTACTAGCTGTTTTCCCGCGTGTGGTGTATTTATAAAATGAGTCCAGTGGTTTTGGAGTCTTTTCAATGCGAACAAACAAACAATGAAATTTTTTCTCTTTCAATATTACACCAGATAAATTATTTGTATGATCATGAAGACCAATTAATTAGCAGTAAATGTACATTGATTTATTTGTAAAATAGAATTAATTATATATGGTTTGTATAAAATAGAATTTACTTTGTTAATCAAAATAATCATAAAATTAAAATCTTCATTTTGTATTAAATTTAATATTAATTACATATTTACTCAATGATTCATTCGCATTAATAACTGCATTAAAATTAATAGTTACCTCATTTACGTTACTATATTTACAAAATATTGTAATTATCATCAAGTCGCTTATAATTATTCCTATTTCTTTACTTTAATATTATTGACACATAAGTCAAATTTAATTTTCAAGAGTAGTATATGAATTTCATAGAAAAAAAATTGGTGCATATATTTTATGAAAAGTTATTCTACCGTTTAGTTAATTCCAGGGAGAATACATTCTTCGAACGTACTTAAGTATAAATTTTCAAAACTACGTTTTTTTTTCTTATTTATCTAAATAAAACCCGAATCATTCGTAGTAAAATCTTATGTAGACAAATCAAAAGAGTCAAAATTCAACAGGGTTGCGTTATTTAATTAGCTTCCGGTTGTATCATCCTGCTCTGGATATTAATTTGGACCAAAAGACTCGGGCCCAAGCTCGCTGGTTGCTTCGTTTACATAGGTAGCATGACTACCTTCTGGTTCCATCATATCAGCTTCATTTTATATTAATACTTATTCCAATCAAATAAATATCATTTATCCAGTAGATTTAGAACAAATGGGCAGTTGTCAAAGTTTAAACTCTATACCATCGGTTCGTAAATACTTAGGAACTGTCCGCATTGCGATTTTATTTCGCGTGAATTTAGTATCGCAATTCTGAACACATTGAATCATATAGGCATATCCGCACTTGGAAAAAAAATATCACGGTTTACTAAACTACATATTTTCACGATTGCTCAGCACTAACGGTGGAAAGATGTTACTCGGTTAGTCTTCCGTCTACTCGGTGGCCGCCGAAAATAACGAAATTGATATTTAAATGTTTATAATGCTAATTCACGTTAGGCCTCCCCCGTGGGACAAATTTCAGGTAAACTACCATCATATGCAATTGAAAGCGTGGTTGTGGGAAGAAAAAATATATTGAATTGAATCAAACAAATTTAAATTGAATATGACATAAAATTCTTATCTTTTATATTAATTACAACATGGTGCGATTGAGTAAACTTTGTACTCTCACAGCCATTCGCACTAACGTTCATTAAAATTGACATTAGTTTAAATTTGACATTCATTAGAGTTAAAAAGTGTCATTAAATCGTAATGGACATTTGTGCAACTGAGAGTCATTAATAGGATCACAAACCTTAGCCTGACACTGTTTACGTAATTCAGTATCTAATTTTAATGACAATATGCAAATAACTATGACATCCCAATTATCTACATTTACACCTACATATTTTAAAACATTAAGACATTCGTTGAAGTATCATAAAATTCCTTTAAAGGAATGATGTTACGTGTACAATAGCTTTATGACAAAAAAAACTTTAAAATACAATTGGTCACATAAATATATTCATGAAAATTCAAAAAGAAATTTAATAAAGTTTATTTACATTTAACTAAAGTATGTAGGTATCATTTCATTTGATAACCTTTTGCCATCTTGTAGGTAAGGCCATGATGTCATTGCTGTAGAAATTTTGGGGCTTCTGATAAAAAAAAACGTGACAATTAGTTTTGGCCGTGATCACGTGGTGTTAACCTGACACTACTTAAAGAATTCTGAAGAGACCAAACAGGTGGAATCTGAGGGTGTGAGGTTAGGACTATACGGCGGATGCATAAACGCCTCCCAGCCAAACTCTTTTAATTTTTTCTGAGTGGCAAAAGACGTGTGAGGTCTAGCGTTATCATGATGAAATGCCACACACTTTCTATTGATTTATTCTGGCCGATTTCTCTCAACTTCTTGCTTTAATCTCATCAGTTGTTCGCAGTAGAGTTTAAAATCGATGGTCCTGCCTGACGGTAACAGCTCACAATGAGTAAACCCAATCTCGTAATACACACAACATCACCTTGCTACGAGTTAACCCGGGCTTCGCCACAGTCTGTGAAGCCTGACCGACCTTTACGCACTTTCATATCACCAGTTCATTCATTACGCCGTAATAAAGAATCACAAATGCTCGTGAGGTACCCAAATATTCAAACTTTTTTGTGAACCCAGCTTTTTTCAAATGTGCCAAAACTGTTTGTGGTTAATCCTCAGTTCTTCAGCTACGGCGTAACTACTGATATGCCCATCTTGCTCCACTTTTTCTAAAATAGCATTTTATCCGTAATAAGGCGACTGGAGCGACGTACACCTTTGACATCAATATTTCCGAACTGAAACCAAATTTTTGCTACTCTTCCAGAAACTGCACTAGGTCCATAAATGTCAAACTTTTCTTCACAACTTGCCTTACTTTTTTTGTAATAAAATTATCGAATTTCTTCATTAGATTCACTCATTTTGACAGTAAGAAAAAAATGAAAATCACAAATTTTCCCAATTTGCATTCAGAGTTGTCTTCTTTAAAATTTAAATTTAATTGATACTGAAACCAGACAGATACAAATGGTTTAGCCAAAAAGATTTTATTACAAGTTTGTGCATTCTTTATGCAAAAAGACTTTTCCCCAACTTATATATTCTTACAGTTCCCAGCACACAGAATAGCTATCACTCGATATCGGTAGATGTAGTTAAAGTTGTTCCACTGCTCCCTTCAAATATGTTTTCAAATAATGCAGTTTTTGAACATCTAGTAGAGCATTGTTATTGTGAATGTGAGATATTTAGAGATTCGGGATCTCTTCTCATGTTGTCCACTCTAAATATTTCCCAGAAAATATCACTATGGCAATTTTGGGTAACTTCACAACACTTTGATCTATATCTGACCTCAACTGTGATGTAATTTGTTTCTGTACGTCAGTGAAAGTATTCAGTTTTGTTTTAGATCAGTTCAATAATCTATACTTCAATCTTCTACACGACCATAGACATCTTTAGTATTAAGATTATTCAAATTTCTAATGGATTCTAATGGTTTGTATCGAAAGTAAGCTATTGTTTATACCAAACTCTCCAATGTTAGGTTCATTTCATCTATCCTTGGGGGATTTCTTGAAACTTATTAAGGATCTTTGTATATTATTTTGTATTTCTTCTTGAGCAGTATTAGAGCGAAATTTTTCTGAATCCAATAAGTAGGATATTTTTTTATTTTGAAACAGTTAGGCTAATTTAGGCATGGATTCCCCGTGTGGTCACAAATTTGCATAAAAAAAATCTACTATCTACTATAGTGCATGCACTATACACTATAAATTATTTTATTTTTAAAGTTAATTTCTTCTATATTTTAAGTTTACGCTTGAACTCTTCTAAATCAGGGGCTTACTTAGTATTTTTTTTTTACGATCTTTAATCAACCTTTTCCTTCTTTTATTGAAGGACGATCAGAAGATGCCTTGGTATTAATTTCAATCAATTATGGGGTTGTCAGGTTTAGAGTTCTCTAATAATAATACACTCTCATTTGTTATTTAAAATAAAAGAAAGATGTTTTTATTTCTTATCTGTTGGATGAGATTGTCTTTTTTTTTAATTTTTGACAAAACAACAACATTGAAACACTGACAAAAAAAAATTGCACTAAGAATTTAGGCAATAAACTTTTTGAACTGATGGCCTGTGATTTAGCTAAGCGATTCACATATTCCTTTTTTTGATCTAAAGTAATAAGTTTTGTCACAAATATAACAAAAGATGAGGGTAAAATTTTACAGATACCGTATCTCTGACTATAAGGAAAACTTATAGCACACAAAACGGTTAAAATAAATAGGTATAAGTTTTGGAAGAACGAAAATTCTTAAGACATTATCAACATAGTAACATAAGTGTGATTTTTTGTACGTTTGGATGTACGAGAGAAAAAGTGAAGAGCTTTAGGTTTACAAATCATTACGCTTGAAGTGGAAATAATGGCAAATTGGCTCACAGATTTAATATATTTTTTACTAGTGGCCGCCAGTGACTTCGTCCGCGTTTTCCATTTTTTCTTCGCTCCCAATAGTTGCAGCGTGATGTTATATAACCTAAAGCCTTCCTCAATAAATGGTCTATTCAACACAAAAATAATTGTTCAATTCGTACCAGTAGTTCCTGAGATTAGCGCGTTCAAACAAACAAACTCTTCAGCTTTATAATATTAGTATAGATGAAATACTGGCCAGAACAATCCTTCTAGCATGATTCAGTATTCACGCGCGATGGCTTATTATTAGCGTATTTCATGTATAACTTTGGTGTTTCTATACCGATTTCTATGATTCTTTTTTATGGAATACTTAATACTGTTAACTTTTTTAATTAGGGATGACTGAGAGTGTTATAAACGTAAGAGAGACAATAGACAAATACAATCAGAAAGCTTCGAACTGCTAAGCTATCGGGAGTTACACGTGTTATTGTGAGTCAACCATAAAAGATAGACATATGCTGTCGTGGGATATTTTTTATATAATTTTAAGGAG